TAGAAAAAATATCATTTTATAACAATTTTATGTTACTTCAAAACATCTTTGGTTACATTCGTGCAAAGAATTACGTTAAAATCAATGTTTTCAAAAAAGGCGTACAAAAATGTAGCTAGGGTTCCTGTGTCTGTAGTATATTTATTTACTTGTATTTCACTTTTTAATGCCATAATTCCCTAAAAAGATCGGTGACCCCCGTTTTTTAACTGATAATTTATTTCTTTAATGCATTTTACATTTCATATCCGAAATTAAAAGAAAAATCATTTCTGGATCTTGAAAAAAAATGCTTTACCAATGCATGTTCTCAAAGAAAGATATGTAAAGAATTGTGGAAAAGACATTTGTGGATCAGAATTGTACACGTTACAGTAGTTTCATTTCGCTCAAAACACAATATTTTTCAAAAATAATTACAAGATAAGTTTACTAAAGCAAAATCCGCGCTAAAAACGTCAATAAATATCGGGCTGTTGTGATTTTGCTGTTACTCGTAATGAGCGTCAAGATGGCGCCATGTTGGGGATAAAGGTGGTATATTGTGATTGCCATATCTTCTTGACGAGTTCGGTAATCCCGACTTTTTTGTGTGATTTTACTTTAAATATATCATAAACTCCATGCCTGGGAAGTTTCAGCACATTCTCATTTCGGGAACAATTACTGCGGAATTATCTTAAAACCCATTTAAAATACTCATTAAAAATTCATAAACCTTGTGGCAAATCATGTCAGCCATAACATATCACGTGGAGTAACTTTGTATCTGATAAAACTAATCCTAATTAGTATGATTATATAATGGTTCATCCTAATTAGTATTCTTTTGTAGTCGTATTTTAAGCCATTTAAAGCACAGCTTGTAGTCGTGTTTTATCAGAATAAAACGCTCGGCTGCGCCTCGCGTTTTATATCTGATAAAACATTCCTACGCGTGCTTTAAACTTAGTACTTAAATGTTACTCATGAAATAAGTTAATGATAAAAAGACATCATTCACTTTTGTTCATAATTTAATCAATGTACATTTATTGAGGTAAACAGTTCTGATCTGATATAAAATTTATCACAAACTAAACTTTTAAGATTTCAACATTTAAGAGTTCTCCTGGTGAATTGCAATCAGTAATGTCTAAGTTAAATTTTGACATTGCCTTTGGAAATGCATGAAAAGTAACTTATAATATAAGGCTGTTTTGCATATTAAAAGTTTTATTCTAAATATTCAATGTCGCTGGGCAATCAAATTCTAATGTTCCAAAGAAACGTGGCGTGTTTTTTATAAATATGCTTCGTTTAACCAAGGACCAAACAGTTTAGATTTGTTTAGAATATGCAAGGGTGAATAATGCTTGTGAGGTTATACGGCGTTGGGCAGGTCGCTGAGGCAATCTTCCTGCTCGAGTGAGCGAACAATTATGAAAACGTTTCAAACGTTTGTGCGAGAGGTATTTATTGATAAGTAAATATTTGTCTCTGAAAAACGAATGTGTACTTTCTGACTGAAGTGCGTCTAAACACATGTTATTGCTGTTCTAATATTTAATAGGCCGTCTTTGGCTAATTTCCGACAGTTACTTACTTAAGTTTGTTACTTACTATCTTTGTTATTGCATGAAAATGCAGACGGCATAAATTTAAGTTGGATATTATTGAATGTAATGCACTTTGTTAAAGCCTGGTTCACATATACCTGTGGTATGTCGGCGAGCTGAGCTATTGTCGTCAGCAGTTCAACCAAATAATTCACAAAAGAATGTATGTATCAACAGCTGTAAACAATGATAGCGCAGGTATATACCGCAGGCATATATGTGAACCAGACTTAGCCTTAAAGTGTAATGGCTCTTTTAGTTTTGAAGTTACACCAAATAGCCACCCGATATACTACTAAAACAATTCAGTTTTCTTCATAGATCATAATTTCAGGTTTGAAATAATCCATTGTCATCGCCAACAATACGTACACAAAACGATTTGATTCGTCTCCGTGCAAAGCTGCAAAGAACTGGTAAACACCTACCTAAAATGATCATGTTTTGTGATTGGCTTTCAGAAACAAAAATGATCATTGTTCGCGACTCGTTCTTTAGAAAGACGATTTCTATAGTTTTATTGTCTTTCATTGTAAAAATCAACCAGCCACGAGCCTGGATAGTATAGGTAGATGATGACCCAATAATCATGACATACCTTTGTTCGATCTTGCTTTCTTTCCATTCCTGTGATTTTATCTTTCATTTCTTTCAATTCCACTTTTATCTCATCCGGTACATTTTTATAAACTACGATTAGTACAGGAAATGTAAATAAATATCCTCCCAAAGTTGACATACAGAAGATTTATTTTTATCGCTATGTAAGTCTGAAACGGACCAATCATATCTTACCTTTATTTTTTCTTGTTTTCTTTCCATTCCAGTGATTTTATTTTCATTTCGTCCAATTCCACTTTCATCTGTGCTTGGGAATGTTTGATTTCGTCATTATTTTTCTGAATTGTAAAATTTAACTATTGGTAAATGTGTTGCAGTATTGCTGTTAACCAATTATACCTATCGTCATGCAAATCCATTGGCAACCGAAAAGTCTTGTTTTACCTTCATTTCATCTTGTTTTCTTTCTATTTCTTCGTTTTGAACTTTCATCTCAGATTGGGATTTCTGAATTATATTCTATATTATTTCAAACATGATACTGTATACATTTTGACAAACTATATAATTAGTATATATAAATACATATATCTTGCAAAATGTTTTCCCTGAGTAGATCTACAAAACTATTATTTTGGTTGCCATGCAAACCTCCAAAGTATAAATAAACAATGTTTATTTTACCTTTATGTCATCTTGTTTGATTTCCATTTCATCGATTTTGACTTTCATTTCAGCTTGTGATTCCTGAATTATAGTATTAGTGTTAAAAATGATCCCAAAGATGGCGCTTTATACATTTTGACAAACTATGGTTAATATATTAACAATAAACAGATATCTTGTAAAATTTCTCATCGACAGTAGATCTACAAATAGTTATCCTGATCAACTGCTTCAAAACCTGCTAGGGACTAAGAAAATCTTGTCTCACCGTTACTACGTTTCTTTTCATTTTTACCTTTATTTCTTCTTGACGTACCTTAATATCTTTGCAGTCGTGGCACTGGCGGAGTTCTCTCTCATGGATTTCTTTATCGCTTTTATTGACCACCATCCCACATCCTTCATTTCCACAAATAACAGGCGCAAAACCACATCGCTCAACATGATTCTGTAAATTTCCAAGCTGGACGTAGCCCGGACATCCACGATCATTGTAATCACACTTGATTTTCAGCTCTGTTAAGGTATTTTTCAAAAATCTCGGTGGATCTTTGAGGGTTTCTGGAGTCAGGTGTTCTCTCATTCAGGACATGTGTCGGAATTACGAAGATGTTGAGATATACAAGAAAGACAGAATGGATGTTCTTTATTCTGGCAAGTTCGTGGATTTTTGAGCACCCCTTGACAAATAGAGCAGAAAAGATCTTCTCTGACTCGACCTTCAAAACGTCTGTCATCGTAACCTTGCTCATCGTTTTCCATTCTACACGCCATTGATGAACGCTTGAAAAGAAATTAGTAAACAATTGTTAAATTCTAGATACGGTGGAACACTTGTTAATGTTAACAAAACCTTCTTACCTTTTGAAAGCCACTCAATCGAAACGGAAACCTTCTGAAAAACTATGACCAGAAGAGGGGGCATAAATTATCGGAGCTAGTATCACCTAAACAAGTACTAAGGTCACGAGTCGTTACAGTTCTGTGTACAGTAGAAGAGGGATTAAATAATTTGTGCAATATGAAATAAGATCTTTCCCCATTGGAAGCTTTATAAATTTCGCGGAAAAATTCTGTTTATTTAGAAGTTTATTCACATGTGCATATATATGCCCATGGAGGTATGCTTTTTATTTTGGTGGGAAATTGATAATTTCTGCAATGTTGAGGTGAAATGCGCCAGTATTTTTGACCAGGATTGTAGCTTCGCCTCTGGTTAGAACATGTACAGATTAAGTAATATGTATAAATATGGAAAGTCAAAACTATTTACCTAATGATAGAATCCAGTAACTATCTCTTAACAATTACTTTCTCAGAGATGTCAAAAACCTTTCTCCAAACATATATATACCTGCAAATAACAACGAATAAAATCATCAGGATAGAATATTAGCATAAGATTATTGTGATATAGAATGAATTTTTTTATATTCTTTTTTATACCTATCACAAAAAGTCTTCCTACGTCATACATGTGATACATGTATGTTTTTGCTCTACAAAAATCCTAGAAATCCTATACATTTTCTTATCAAATGTCTATAAATGTATTTATTTATTTATTTCATTTTATTTATTTATTTTTTGTATAAACATATTTATTAAAATTGCGTTTGCCCAAGAGCAATAGCTCATCTAGGGGGCTCACGCGACATTTACATTAATTTTGTGAGAGTTAAGACTCCATAAAGCACACAACAAAAGGCAAAAGCGATAATTGGTAGGTTGAACTAAGAAAAACGTTCAGTTTGCTTTATATAGTAGTGGACAGATTTAAAAATATTTTGGTTCTCGGAAATATTCAATCTAGTAGAACCGTAGATAGAAGAATATTTACTCGTTGCAAATCTGACAATAGATACCAATTATCACCAAACACTTGTGCAGCACTCGAGTGTAAGTTGTGTCTAAGAGCAGCATAACGGGGACATCTTAACAAATAATGGGCAACTGTTTCATGCTCCGTGTTACAAATGCACATAGGCGACAGGATACAATTTATTTTGAACAAATAATAATTTAAACCACAGCATCCCAAACGCAAACGAGTATGCAAGATTGAAGAAAACCTATCATTCGCAAAATCATATAACTTATTATATGTTTGAATATCAAAATATTGGCATAACGAGCGTTTAAAAACTTTAACAGAGGATAAATCACGATCTCTAAGCTCGAGATTGTTCCACATAAACGTAGCCGAAGGAAAAAATGACTTTTTAAATCTTTCAGTCCTTGACATATACAAGGTAAAATTTGCAGAGTTTCTCGGAAAAAGGGCCGACCTTTGTTGCACCGTTTGGGGTAACAAGTCTGATAAAAAGCTTGGTGTAAGATTATTAACAATTTAATAATATAAAACAAGCTTATGCATAGAACGCCTGGTACTCATATCTTCCCATGCTAATTCATCCGACAATCTGGATCTACTAGTTCCCCTCATAGCACCCGTGACCACTCTTGCTGATTCATATTGAACTGATTCAATGAGATCACAATGCACTCACTCAAGGAGCAATTATCCCAAATCACATCAGCATATTCTAAAGCGGGTCTTATAAGTGCCTTGTACAATTGATTTAAAGCTTCTCTATTGATTCTAAATTTCAAACCTTTAAAATAATTTAATCTTTTTGACGCTCTTTCATAAATATTAAACACATGAGCTCTCCATGAAAGATCAGACGAAAGTGTGACCCCTAGATGCTTATGATTACTAACAGATTCAATGGCTTTATTGTCATATTTTAGCTGAGGATGTAAAGGTTTTTGACATTTTACAGAGAATATCATAGATTTAGTTCTATCTGGATTAATAGTTACAAGCCATTTCTTCGTCCATATATTTATAAGCTCAAGATCATTATTTAGCTTTGCTGAAGTCAAAGCAGGATCGTCCACTATTTCAAGTAGGGAAGTATCATCGGCATAAAGAAAAGAATTAGATTGAAGATTTGTAGTAATGTCATTAATATAAATCAAGAAAAGCAAAGGTCCTAGTACAGAACCTTGGGGTACCTCCGCTTCAATTTGTCTCCTGCAGTCAGATGACTGACCGTCAATAATTACCCGTTGTTTTCTCCCGGTTAAATATGGTCTGAACCATTTCAATAAAGGGTCTCGCACACCAAGTCGTTCAAGCTTAACAAGGAGTCCTCTATGCCAGACCTTATCAAAAACCTTACTAATATCTAAGAAAACCATTCTCACTTCTTTACCTTGTTCTAAAGCTTCATATATTTTATGGGTTATTAATATAAGTTGATTAATAGTAGAATCCCCGGATCGAAATTCTGATTGAAATGGAGTTAGTTATTTATTTATTGGAGTCCGCTATTTAGTTATTTAATGAATTTATTGAGCAATCTACATACGTACTATATCAGGTACAAAGATAAAAACTTGACAAACGAAAGACAAAACGCACGTCACAAATTAGTAGATACACTCAAACGGAATTAGAAAAGCACAAACGGGACACTAAAAGTCCCATACGAGGTGCTCCCCGTAATTAGTTTAGATATAGTTAATTAAATATACACACACATAGATATTACTTGTGGTATTAAGTCCTATGGCAAGGACAGTCACGAGTTAATGACCACGTACAAGCAATGTCTAAGTCATAAACAATATTAATTAATGTATAGTATCTACGTGTTTAAACAAGTTTGGATTACGGAAAATGTCAGGTGAAACTTCTTGGTACACTGTGTTCCAAATGGTCTTGATTAACAAATACATGCATTCTATCTAGTCTAAAGATCGTTGGCGAGTTGAATAACATTGAATAAAGAACTGTATAGTCCAGCGCTCTACAGAGATTGGACACAAGTTGTTATATGTACGCTTCACTCTCCTCCACAGAGTCTGAATTACATAGGATTTGTAGGGATAATGTAGGGATAGTAGAGGACATTTAGTGGTGCGCGACGGGGGGTGAGATCGATGGTTGACATATCTAAACCTAAAAAACATCCTAAAAAACTTCCCATCATACCTGGCGCGTTTAACTAACAATTACGTAATTTGTTTCCCAAGTAATATTACGTAATTTTACTAAAAATTCGTAAGGCTCTGCGGAGAGTGTGTACGCTTTAAGTGCATCAGAAATTTTATTTCGATATCTAACTTACATTGTATAGAAATATAAAGGGTTATCTGGTCAAAATCTCGTTAGAGCATGCGCACTACAGTAAAAACTTGCGCATAAAGCTATTTACCTGCAAGGCAGAACCCAGATAATAATTTCCTTTCAATGTTTAATCATCAGCGAAATTACTGTCTTCTTTAGTGTCAAGGGAGATCGTAAATTTCTTGGAAAATTTATCTGTAAATAATAATGAAAAATTAACACTAAGGAACCTAAGGGACCTCCCAACCTTCAGAATCTAGTCCCATCACCCATGCTATACCTGTTGAGCTATCAAGTCTACAGAGAATGGTGATGAATTATTATCCTTTATAAGCACACGAGATTTAAACTCTCAACCTTCAGGAATCTAGTTCACTGCTCTACCTGTTGAGTTATTAAGTCTACAGAGATTGGTAATGAGTTGTTATCAAGCTAGGGGTTTCCAGTAATGTATTTCTAGTGTATCCTATATTTTACACTCGATCTAACATAATAAAATTGTATCAATTTGCCAATTTGGTCTGTTACAGGTCAGATATAAACTTTAATCGCAATGTTAATATTTTGTGGTCCATCCCCAACTGTACATGCGCATTAATTACATATTTAATAATATACATAAAGATATTACTCGACTGTCATTGGTTGATTTCAGTGCAGTTAATCCCAAACAGCAGTGCAATTTTCTGTAATCACAGTGCAATTTTCTGTAATCACAGTGCAATTTTTTGTAATCACAGTGCAATTTTCTGTAATCACAGTGCAAAAATCTGTAAAAAACTGATCTGATTGGTGGAAAAACATTGTGGTGATTAAATCAACCAATTAGTTTAAAGCATTTAGTTTAAAGAAGTAACGGTCACAGATTGCTTCAAAACAAAACAAACATGGCGCCGCGGTATACAAAGTAAAAGTTGCCTTCGCGTGGAAAATATGGCTTTTATCTTTATTTTTAAATGGAAAAGCATTTACCTTAAACAAGACTAACAAAAATTACATAGTTGAGTGGAATTTTCAAGTTGTTAGCGTTGTATAATGTGATATAAAAAAGCCAGGAAAACTTTGCCAGTGGAATGTCCGCTAAAAACGCGTAAGTTAAAACTACAATTGTCTCGAACATTTTTATGTAAATTATTAATAAGTAATAGCATGGTTTCTCCTGAAATTTGGATAAACATGCACTCGTGAGTTTTTCAAAGACCTCAAATAGCACTCGTCCTTCGGACTCGTGCTATTTTGTGGTCTTTGAAAAACTCACTCGTGCATATTATATCCAAATTGCACACGAAACCATGCTATTACCTATACTAAACAAACAAGCGTAGGCTAGGATTTGCTATGAATATGAAAGTCTACATTACTACGAATCAATATAGATCAATCAATATGTTCATTAAGATCGAATAAAGCAACATTTCTTTTCCTTTATTTCAACGCAAAACCTGAAATCATTGCTGTATATAAGTGCAGGGGTGGTAACGTTATACGTTATACATATATGGGCATGTTACATATACGGGCATGTTACATATACGGGCTATCTGAAAACATTACGTAATCCTTAATGCGCTATCCTAGATTGCTAAAATGCAGAGAGGATGCTCAAAAATGATAAATATTTACACATTGGCATTGAATAAAAGTCCAAGGATACATACAGCCCGTATATGTAACATACAGCCCGTATATATATGTAACATATGCATGGCCCGTATATGTAACATATGGCCCGTATATGTAACATATACAGCCCGCATATGTAACATATGGCCCGTATGTGTAAAATGCAGCCCGTATATGTAACATATACAGCCCGTATATATGTACAATACAGCCCGTATATGTAACATATGGCCAGTATATGTAAAATACAGCCCGTATATGTAACATACAGCCCGTATATTTAACATAAGGCCCGCGTATATGTAACATATATGGCCCGTATGTGTAAAATACAGCCCGTATACATGTAACATACAGCCGTATATGTAACACACAGCCCGTATATGTAACATACAGCCCGCATATGTAACATATGGCCCGTATGTGTAAAATGCAGCCCGTATATGTAACATATACAGCCCGTATATATGTACAATACAGCCCGTATATGTAACATATGGCCAGTATATGTAAAATACAGCCCGTATATGTAACATACAGCCCGTATATGCAACATACAGTCTGTATATGTAAAATACAGCACGTATTTGTAACATACAGCCCGTATATGTAACATACAGCCCGTATATGACATATACAGCCCGCATATGTAACATATGGCCCGTATATATATGTAACATACAGCCCGTATATGTAAAATACAGCCCGTATATGTAAAATACAGCCCGTATATGTAACATATGGCCCGTATATGTAACATAAGGCCCGTATATGTATACAATATAGCCCGTATATGTAACATACAGCCCGTATATGTAACATACAGCCCGTATATGACATATATGCAGCCCGCATATGTAACATATGGCCCGTATATATGTGTAAAATGCAGCCCGTATATGTAACATACAGCCCGTATATGTAACATATACAGCCCGTATATGTAAAATACTGCCCGTATATGTAAAATACAGCCCGTATATGTAACATATGGCCCGTATATGTAACATATGGCCCGTATATGTAAAATACAGCCCGTATATGTAACATACAGCCCGTATAATATAAAATACAGCCCGTATATGTAACATATGGCCCGTATATGTAAGATTTGGCCCGTATATATATGTAAAATACAGCCCGTATATGTAAAATGCAGCCCGTATATGTAAAATACAGCCCGTATATGTAACATACAGCCCGTGCATGTAAAATACAGCCCGTATATGTAACATACAGCCCGTATATGTAAAACACAGCCCGTATATGTAACATATGGCCAGTATATATAAAATACAGCCCGTAACATATGGCCCGTATATGTAACATAAGGCCCGTATATGTATACAATATAGCCCGTATATGTAACGTACAGCCCGTATATGTAACATACAGCCCGTATAATATAAAATAGAGCCCGTATATGTAACATATGGCCCGTATATGTAAGATTTGGCCCGTATATATATGTAAAATGCAGCCCGTATATGTAAAATACAGCCCGTATATGTAACATACAGCCCGTGCATGTAAAATACAGCCCGTATATGTAACATATGGCCCGTATATGTAAAATACAGCCCGTATATGTAACATACAGCCCGTATATGTAAAACACAGCCCGTATATGTAACATATGGCCAGTATATGTAACATATAGCCCGTAACAATACAGCCAGTATATGTAACATACAGCCCGAATATATGTAAAATGCAGCTCGTATATGTGACATAGGCCTATGGCCCGTATATGTAACATGCATATGGCCCGTATACATGTATATAACATACGGCCCGTATATGTAACATATGGCCCGTATATGTAAAATACAGCCCGTATATGTAAAATACAGCCCGTATATGTAACGTATACCGCCCGTATATGTAACATATGGCCCGTATATGTAACATATGGGTCGTATGTGTGAAATACAGCCCGTATATGTAAAATACAGCCCGTATATGTAACATATGGCCCGTATATGAAACATATGGCCCGTATAATAGGTGTGTTGCAAAACACACAAAAATGTGTTATATAGCACGTTAAGAGGCAGTCCGTGTAAAAACCGACCACTCGAATTTCTTAAGATTACAGATTTCCTTCAAACTTTCTGTGTGGAAGAAGTCATTCATAAAATGAACAAAAAACGTTGACTTTGAAATTGTAGTCAGTTTTAAAAATTTTTTCGCAATTATTTTCGAACGCTTTCGAAAATAAGTTAAAACGTTAATTACGCAAGTGATATTTGAGCTTTTTTATATCTCACAGTTCATCTCGCGCTTTTATTCTAACTTCTTGAAACTTACATATTTTATTATTTCCTGCCTAGGCATAAACCTAAACTAAAAATTATGCTGATCACTTGAAGCAAACAAAATATGGGGTATTTTTAAAAACGTCTTTCAGACAGCGGATTAAATATTCGTGTTAGTATGCTGGCGGTAAATTATTTTTCTCAAAAGTGCAACGGTATCAGGTATCCAATCTATTGCAGCTACTGAGTATTATGACACATCTACTAGAATAAATAATAAAATCTTTGGGCGGTGTGTTTTTCGCCTGACAAGCGCGTCATGAATATAGTGAATTTTCGCTAATTCCTCTAATTATATGCTATAATTTCTTTTTGTATTTACTTAAATTTTTCGCGTTAAAAACATACAAAACTGTTTACTATCTTTCAAACATGGCTGTTTTTTGGATAGAGACTAAGTTATAAATATGTCAGCATTTATGCTAGCTTTATAACATAGAGCAAAAGTCTTGACGCATGTGCCGACTGAAATTGACATGCACGCGTTGCTAATTTTATCCGCCGGTATTATCTTTTTATTATTTATCAGTGTATGAAAGCACTGTAAACATACTGATCTTGGTAACTGAAACTATATGCACCGATTTCCTCCGAATGTACACATCTATCACAAGAGAATATTAGAAGAAAGTATATTATACAATTTATTAGAGAGTAATGTTTTTCGCGTGAAAAGCGGTTCATACACAGCAAAAAATCATTTTCTTATTTTAAGAAAAAAAAAACTTGTTTTAAGAAAATTTTCTTGAAATAAGAAAATATTTTCTTGGGAGAATAACAAGAAAATTTTCTTAATAAGAAAATTT